GTGACATGTTAGGCGATTTAGAAATCATGGCTGAATGCATTTTTTAAGTCCCAAATAGAGGACATGTCTGGGAAAAAGAGGATCTATTGTCACCCTAAATAATGAGCTGGATCAGTCTATTTAGTAAAAGGCTTTTCTTCTCCGCGTGTCCTCACGCTCTTCTTAAAGCTACTAACAAAGTCAGAACAGGTGTCCAGCGCGTCTCTGTGGGTTTGCAGCAGAAGAGCATGCGGAGTATTCTCACGCACACAGAACCGGTGTGTGGAAAGCGCTGGTGTTGAATTGGGTATCACATTGTATGCACCATGCCATGCCATGACCGAATTGAGGCTTGCACGATGTGCAGTACGTCACCATTGCGTCGACTTGCGTTGCTTAGCAGCGTATACAAAACAATGTAAAGATCGCTTGACGTGAGGTAAATAAACCAGTAATGTTAGAGATATGCCGTTGTTGATAGCGTCAGCGTGTGCAACCGTCACAATAGATTTCTATCGTAATACACCTTAACTTAGAGTGAAGAGCATGTTAAATCTTAAAGAGACTTTGCGAGCAAGCAGTGTTGTGATCACGTGGGCTTTGCACGCTGGCTCTGGATGCTGCTGGATAGAATAGCTGTAACAGAGTTTAGAGCACCTCGGATTAGTTTTTTGGACAGATATCGGACCTACTTTCAATATGAATATCGGATCGGGACATCCTTAATTAGCCTGCTTGTTCACTTAAATCCTCGTATGATCACTGGACTTTTTATTGTTTTTTTTTTTCTTTTTCAAAATACAGACAACTAAACAGTTGATTTATAAGGCTTTTGCATTTATTCTATTTATTATTGCACGTACACTATAGAAAATTTAGCCTACCCAATTCACCTGTACCGCTTGTCTTTGGGCTGTGGGGGAAACAGGAACACCCGGAGGAAACCCACGCAAAGGCAGGGAGAACATGCAAACTCCACACAGAAACACCAACTGACCCAGCCTAGGCTCGAACCAAGGACCTTCTTGCTGTGAGGCGACAGCACTACCTACTGTGCCACTGCGTCTCCCTTTTGCATTTATCATTTTTGATATCAAATATTGTTTGAATAGTTTATGCCTGGTCTTGCAATACTATTAAATGGAGTCGGGTCCGGATTGCAGGGGTGTCAAAATGAAATGTTTCTTTCAGTGCACTGCGATGCAGATGCAAACAATTTGGTATCTGTTCAGTAACAATCATAACCGGTAATTATGTACTGATGTCATTTATCTCATATGCGCCATGCCGCCTTACTTACTATAGCGAGGGAGGCGAGCGCGAGTATTTACAACACTCCAACTACTTAAAAACGTAGAAGCTGTGCACAATTTCACTGACACTTACAACAGAAGCCCCTATTTCACTGCGATTGAGAGAGTAAACTCTATTTCTCTCTCTCTTCTTGTTTGTTTTAATGTGTGGAAATGAGAGTGTGATGCTGTGTGTCGCTGTCTGTCTGTTTGTCTCTGTGTGTGTGTTTGTTTGTGTGTGTGCGTGCGTGCGTGCGTGCGTGTGAATGAGAGAGCGTTTTGCTGTGTGTCGCTTGCTTGGTGCTGTGTCTCTATGTATGTGTTTTTACAAATATAATCCAAATATAAAACTGCAGGGGTGATAGCATTCCGGCACCACGCCGGATTTCCGGCGTACTGTGGCTGCGGGGAAAAAAAAAATCAGGTTCACGGATATTGATCTGTCATTTCTCTAGATTTACAGAATTCACTCACTGCTGAAAGCGCCGGATTGGTTTTTATTAAGTGCCATTTTGTGTGCTCGTGAATCATCTTTTGAGTGTAGACGCCATGTAAATAAAAGATTAATATTGTAATTTAGAGAGCTTTATAAATTATAACGGATCTTTGTGAGATCTCTATGAACTAAGATTAGTGACGCTTTTTAGTGATAATAAGAGGAGCGTGCTTTGCACTTTCCAGGCTATAATCCATTCAGAATTTGTATGAAACTTTCGTTTTCGGCACATATACGCTGATATGTTTTGGGAATGACATCTGCATATTTACGCTGGGTTTATTCTCGAAATAACGGTGAAGCAATAGACGAGACAAAAATATATTTCCCCCTTCTCCTTAAACAACTTAGTGTTTCAGCTATGAAATAGTTCAGTTTTGTATGTAGCCTAATGGCAAAGTGTTTATAGTTTCGTTTTTTATTCAGCTTATTTAGAAAAACGTTTGGAGCATTTTTTATTCGTTAAAAATAAGTTTTTTTTTACGTACAGCGCCCAGCGGTAGACCATCATTGTCTGTTTGATCAGTTTGCCTTCTCAGATCATCACGACTCGCCTAAAATAAAAGATATAAAACAGTTCAAGTATAAAACAATGGTAGCTTAAACGTTAAAGAATGTGTGCTTTTAGGCGCATAGTTTGCTTATAAAAAGCTTGCAGGACATCGAGGCGCCAGAGCAATCACTTGCATTTTTTCAGTGGGAGCAATTTAAAGTTATCCGTCATTTTTGCTCACAAAGTACGAGTAATACATCAAAAAACGTTACAGCGTTTTTATAAAATAAAGAAAACCAAAATTATGCACTTTCTGTCGTCTGGTTTTTGAACAGGAGCGCTTAACAAAATGAAGCAAAATGTATATGCCTCACAGACATAATAAATATATTTATAGAAAGCTTTAAATTATTACTTAACGAAATAAAACAAATCGAAAAAAAAAAAAAACTCCTTCATGTAATGCGTAAAGATGAATTTCTCTCTAAAGGCGAGTCCAAGAGGAGATTGCCAGTCAGGATCTTTGTGACACTGACTCAGAATAAGTTTATTAATAAATAATAGTGATGTGACGTTGTGGGCCGAGGCTTCGAAGCATGTATCAAAAAAACGATACATCTCGCAGTGAAGCAGTGTACCGGAGCTTGATTCGTTTTGCCATCATCACGTGATCAGTGACGTCCGAAGCTTCATTTTCGCCTTTACCCACGTGACTGCTTCGAATTTTATTTCAAAGGTTTAAACACCCTCATAGTAAAGTGTATAGCAAGAGAATTGGCGTCTATTACATACATTTGTTTCAAAGCACTGCACCAGTCCCACACACCAGTAATTAAACTAAACTACAATAGTATTTTTTAGTAAAAAGGTTTTGAACAATACTAAAGAGTGTTAGCGTATTTTTTTACGACTATCTTTAAAGAAAACCACCGCATATGGTGGTATTGTGTTTAAAACTACAGTAATTGAGTAATTTGTTTATATTGCTGTTGTTGTATTACTACATGAATGAGTTGGTCAGTTGTAAACATTTGACATAATGGCAACACAGTGCTTTCCCACACTTTCACCAGAAGAGGTCCTCATCGAGCTCTGATTTAGAAAGCTTCGAGTAACGAACCTTTTTCCGATACAGTTAAGTCGAGCGCTTCACTGGTTCAGAAAGCTTCATTTCACCATCACTAATAAATAATTAAGATATGTCCTTACTCTTTCCTCGACACATTCATTGTTATTTGTTTTTGCCGGTGCTTGGGGCGAGTTTTAGCTTATTGTGTGCGCTTGAACGCGGATTCACAGTAGCAGTTTTAACATGGAGTGACACGACATCTGACGTACAGATGACACTGGCACATGCCACTGAGTGTAGTGACACTTCCGGTGGCACGTCCGGTTTTCCACTGTCATGTGTCACTCGCTAGTGGCATGTGTAGTGACCTGTGTCACTCAGAGTGTCGCGGTGCATGTCACTGCAGTGACATCGACACCCGGCGAAGCTTATGACATTAATTAACACGAGCAAAACCATATTTAATCATTACGCGACTTTTAACCTAATTTATCGCGTCGCAAGTTAGTTTATTTGCTGAGCTACTCCACGATGTTTTAATTTAAACGCATTTATTTTATGTGTTCGTAGTCATACTTCCGTACGTAATATAGTCATTTGACAGTACATGTCAGTCAAATTTATTGTGGCATGCTTATGTATGGGAGGGGTTACACTTATCTGTTTTACTGTATATTGTTGCATCCTGGCAGTTCCTTTGTTCCCTACAATATGGACTTCTCTATGTTTTTAATTCATTCATTTATTTTATTATTTAACTTATTTTCATTTTAAGGTATTTTAAATAATATCCTTTAAAAAGTTATAATAAAATGCATGTTGAAAACTCATAACATATATGCATGTAAGATAACAGGTGTCATTTGCCTAATGATTTTTAAATATTAAAGCAAAGAGACTTAAAGATTAATGTGCTTATAACGTGCTTATACTGACACCTACTGGCACATGTCACAAGATCACTGACACTGGCATGTGTCACTGACATTACTGGCATGTGACTAAAAAGAGCCACTTGACAATAATGATGATTAGGGTTACACATAGGCTGTTAATATATTTGGGCCCAGGGGCCCACAAGTTATGTGTTAAAAGTGCGTTGCATACATAGTACCCCCACCCCTACTCACCTCAGGGGCAAGGAAAAAAAGTTCAGGCTCAGGAATTTTTTCCACTATCAGCCCTGAAACTGTGTATGGAAAGCATCGTCGATACACCGAGATATCGAATTGAACCGAATCGATGGCATAATAATCGCAACCAAACTGTGAGACCAGTGTAGGTTCACACCTCTTCCGGATTGAAACCAGAGTCTAGCCTTTGAGAAGCCCTGATGTATAAAGTCAATAATATGACCTAATACTGTGACTAATGGCTACTTATTCCAAGTTGCCATTAATGAGAAAGTACTTCAAAAAAATTTAATTAACTGTTAATTTACTCACCCCTTTTGCCAGCAAAAATATAGGTGACCTTTTTTCCACTATGATTTTAAAAGACAATTTTGTAAGCTAGAAGCAGCAAATCATGGCTACTTACTGGTGGTAACACTTTTTACTAGATTTATTTCTTGCTCACTAAGATTGTATGGTTGGTGCAATATAAGATTTAAGTTATGTGATTTTAAAGTGTATTTGTGTAAACAATCTGTTTTCTGTTTCCATGCTGTAGGCACTGATTGAGGAGTTCATCTGCGACAATGTTACACTTAGTCTTCCCAACAGCTTCAGACATTCAATTCAACTAGAGCTGATGCACAAGCTTCAACAAGGGTAAGACATGGCTTGTTCTTTTTGTGTGTATTTTTATATAAAAGTTGCATGTTTTTGAATTTTAGTCAGATAACTAGAGATAAAATATCAGTATGATATAGTTGTATAACAGGACTGCTGTGATTTTGACTGTAGCAAAATGCATAAGCACAGCTGTTTTGATATCCATATTGCACTTCTACAAGTGTAGTTGCTTTTGTACAAATTACAAAAGTGTGAGGGGAAAAAAAAACAAAATGATTACAGTGTCTCAAAGACTATTTGTGTGAGGAACTACTATGTACCATGGATTCAAATTTCTATTTGATATTGAAAACCTAATTTAATTAGAAAATGACGTTTTTAAAACTAGATAAGTAATCTTCATAGACAAACTTTATGATGGCTTGAGAGCCTAGTTTGGAAGTTTGAACTAGTTTTAAAGTTTAAACAATTGTAGTAGTTAAGTTTTTTATTAGAGTATGCAAAAAGGTACATAAATTGGGATCATACAAATACAAAGAAACATCAACAAAAATGACAAAAAAAAACAAATCCTTTATTTAATCATCATGATGCTGTCAGTCGTGCGACTGATATCGCGTTCATCATTGCTAAAGAGCATACATTCACTGAGATGAAACTAATATTGCAGCTCATAAAAAGACCATTATTGCTATTAAGATGACGTATGCAAAAAATAAGTTATATGTCTATATCATCTGTGCAATATCAGACACCACCTGTGAGAACAGCCCAGTTATTATTGTTAATTCAGTTTAGTGCTGGGCGATATGGCAAAAAAAAATTATCACGATAATTTTTTTCATATCAGTCGATATCGATATTTATCTCGATAACTGTAAAATCTTTATATCTATCAATTATATAAGATTTTCAGCATGCCAATGGCTTTGTGCAGCTGATTTAAAGGGCCATGAAACCCCCTCGTTTCAGCAGGGTGTTTTCACACCTCTACTTTGGAAAAAGTCAGAAAAGTGGGCGTGTACAGCTCTGTTTTGGGGGAGTGTCTGAGGAACTAAAGTGGGAGGGTGTGGGAGTGTCTATTTGGGCATGCGCGAGTTTCAGTCAAAATACTCACACACAGGAGAAAGTGATGGTGTTCAACCCATTTGGTCCCATTCGACATCTATAGTCGAATTATTTGCCAAATTATTAACTGGTTGACTTTAACTGCAGTTTGGCTGTTTCATTCAAGGAATTCATTCATGCCCCTCGCGACAAACGAGATATTTGATTCGAGGATCTGCTCTAAGCGTGTATTTTTCATGCAATGTTTGATACCCCACGGCGAATGAGAGAAAAAAACCTCAGCATTTTCCAGAAACTTAGATGCACACAGCAGGTAGCGTCAGAAAGCCGCTTGTGTTATTCCGGTCACAAAATGCGGTAAAAACCCTACACGAGGTTAAAGTTTGGTTGTGGTCCTAACATGTTTGCACTCGGTGAAATAATTAACTTAGTTCGATACGAACAAACTGAATAAACAAAGAGCACTGGTCGCTCACTTACCAAATCTGTAGAGACAGGACAATCCCCAGCAACTACTTAGAGCCGCGTCTTTATGAAGAGAATACTACAAGCGAATCCGATCTCAGAGTTTGCAGATGAGAACAGCTCTCAGGTAAACAATAATCCTCCTTAGACACGTAAGTTATTGTTGTTGAGCGTCGGGTACACAATCCACAATCCACACACAATCCACAATCCACACATGATCCAGATGAGCTCTCACAGAGAGAAAATGAAAACGAAACTTAACGGCAGCAAACTATAAAAGCAACACTTCACGCTTGTTTTGCCAACACAACGTGGCGTCTATGTCGTGTAAACACAATAATGAATATAAATGAAGTTGCACAATAGAGCGTGCTGATTGGTTTGTACCAAGCCTTACTCATGCATTAATGCATCGCACTGTAAGACGTAATAAGACTCACTCTGGCACAGATGCCCAGTCTGCACGCTGGAATACATGCTATTATGTCATGACCATGACGCAGCTTCAAAAATTCGTTTCAAACAGGAAGTACGAATTTGCTTGAAATAACGTAAAAACAACCAATTTACACTTTTTAGTGAAATATAGGTGTCCTAATAGTGTTTTTAGCAGTGTGGGACACATATACGACTGTCAACAGCTCAAAAATGTGTTTTGGGTTTTTCGTGACCCTTTAACACATTTAGTGAAATGTTTTAGCTGTCTGACAATATAAATAATAAAATAATAGACAAAAGAACAATCTTTATTCAGCATTTACTGTTCAAGTTTTCAACAACCAAAGACATTACCTACAAGTTATTGAATATTATTGTAAAAAAAAAAACGGTTTGGAACAATGTGAGTTAAAGGTCACATAATTTTCAGTTTTGGATGAACTCTCCTTTTAATGGGGAGTATGGTGAATTTAGAGTGAAATATACTTTAATGTATTCATCTATTGATTGTTGATAACGCTTTTATCGATAGACCTTATCGATGACTAATTAAGCATGGACATGCAAAGGTTTAGTTATGCTTTGCGCTGTGAGACGCGTCCACACAGTACATCATCAAGTGTGTGCAGTTTACTTATGCTGTCACTCTCTTGACATCCCATATTGCGGGATGCATAAACACTTGTTATGCGCATATCTCCGATAGATCCGCATGTGTTTTAACTAAATTTGACTGACAGACTAGCACGAATAGGTCTATGCAGACTCTCAATTTACAAATCGCGCATCACAACGAAAACATGCGGGGAGCCAGCCGGAGAGCCTCTCCATTTACACAGCGTGCTTCTAAACTCCACCCAAGTTTATTCTTCCGAGGTAACCCAAGAAATCTATCAGTGCAGCGAAAAGACTGTCCAGTTCATGCTGCTCAGACCGCCCTTACTTAATGAATTAAAATGAAACCGTGAAAATAGTTTAATGAACTGTTTTGGCGCTAAAGCATATAGCGGGCTTGTGTTTAAGCCCTTCGCCTCAGATGTTATTTGTTCCTCTTGTTTATGCTGTAGATAACTGACCAACAAAATATACATCAAAATTAAGTTACACATTATACAAAACGAAATTTGTTACAACAAGATACATTTTCAAGGAAATATGTTTATATTTATTTAGTTCGTGTCACCCTTAAACAACTGCGGATGGATGATGCTTCGCTCCGTGGAAAAAAATGGATTTAATTAATGATCCAATGCTGTTGTAAACGTCTGTCATATATTTGCTGCATTTTTAATATGTCATTATTTTAAAGATTATGTCTTGAGCATCTGATTTTTCCTCTGTGATTATGTCCTTTAAATAAAGGCTGGTTCTTTTACCGTCAAAGAGGGACAATAGTGGTATTACAGATTTCAAAACAAATATCTTAATATTAAAAAAGGAAACATAAGCTTGACATCAAAAGATCCTATTATTGTCATAACAAATAAATGATGCAGCCTGTAGTTTACAGCAAGCATCAAGAGTTCATTGAGATGTGATTGAGATTGTGTCCTCTGTCATGTCTTGCGTCTGTCTTTTCGAGCATTTTTTCTCGTTAGGCACGGCTTATGAGTAAAGTAGCTCATGTAGTCTAGTGACGTTTCTTGTCAACAATGTCTGTGATTCTTACCTTTTTTACCTTATTTCTTTCTTACTCATTTAAGTGCAACTAACACTGTATGGCTGTAAACTTGTACGGCATGCGGCATCTGGAAGGGCATGAAGTGAAATGTTTGCGCAACGTTACGCATAGTGCGTATATATTATCGAGCAATTATCGAACTGTCATTTTCTTTTTTTCGAAAAATTTTATATAGTTATAATTATCGATATCGAATTATCGCCCAGCCCTAATTCAGTTCATCTTAATCTCGTCAAGCAGTGCGTGCAGGGCCGGTGAGCGCATGCTGTTTTTTGTTTATTTGTTAGTTGTGATTAGAGTGTTATATAATAAAATCTGTTAATATGAAACGTGTAGTAACGGTGCTCATAATTTTTGGTGGGTGCAACTAACTTTTGTCTGGTGCGCTTACATTTTTGAAGTTATGATCACCGGTGCTACCAAGAAAAAAAGGTTAATTTCGAGCCCTGTTAGACCTAAATCGGTAGTGGAAATTTCGAGTTTTAAGAAAATATTAAATGTAATAGAGCCCCGTTACATTATTTCTTCATAAGGCAGTTTCAGTCAGATAATTTCTGCTTTCAGATCCACTAAAATGGCAGGTGACAGTCAATTCAAGCAGATCTGTGCTGTCTGAAGAAAAGGTGGACACTCATCTTCCTGAAAAAAAAAAAAAAGTAAAAATAGATCGAAACTGAGCTCCTTATGAAAACTAAATTGTTCTTTTCTTTTTATTTGTTTAACTACAACAATATTACATTTATTTTTTATAGTAAACTTTTTGGTTTTGAGTATAAAGAAGGATTTGTTTTATTTGCTGCTAAGCAGAAACCCCAGAAGTATAGCTCTATCACTGTTAATAGATGATTTTGTTAGGTTTAATACATAAAAAAAAATTTAAATCAGAGAAATCCTCTGGCTTTTTTCCTCTATTTTATTTTATTTTTTTGCTGTATCGAAAACATACCGAACCGTGACACCACTGTTTTCTGACTATAGACTAGTCAGAAAAACTATTCTCTTCAGTGCAGCCATCTTAACTAAGTAAACTAAAATTAAATAAATAACTGCAGTGTAGACAAGTGAAAGTTCTTCTTTAAAAACACCATAATATCCACATTCTCTGGTGAGAGGCTTGATCTCTGTGCAGACACAGACGCTCATTTTTGATTATCTGTTTCATTTAGATAGATAGGATACCGTTTAAATTAATGAAAAAATATACATATAATGAGTTTGTAAAGGGTTTTTCCATGACATATTCACCAATAAAATACATTGCAGTTGTGTCTAATACTAATGTTATGGTTGTAGCCGGCTATATGTTTGCCTCTCGATCTCTCTCTCTCTCCCGCTCACTCCATGCCAGTCATTTATGTAGGTCTGCCTTCATGACAGCTGA